ACGGCCCCTTTCCTGCATCTGACATTTTACATAGATAATTAAGTCCACATTTTTTTCCTGCGGGAAGTTAGCAAAAAAAAAAAAAAAGCCAGGAACTAAAGTTTTTTCGCAAACCAGAAGGAAGGAGGGAGCCTCTAGCGTCCACGAAGCAAACAGAAAAGTCGCCTGGGTGAATAAGGAGGGGGGGAAGCAAAACAAGCAGTGTTTCCGAGGCTGGAGGGCTTTCCCAAGGTGGTGACKGTGCAAAGCGGAGAAATGTGGTGACAAATGGCTTTAACTTTTCCCTCCTGAATTGTTTTCTCTTTTGTTTCTCCCTGCCCATCCCCTCTGTGCTGAGAGACACCATCCCAGCACTCCGGGATCTCCCTTGGGTGGATGGGGAGCGCTCACTCCGGACCAAAGGCAGCRGGGCCCGGACAGCAGGTTGCCCACCTGGCTCGTCACCACTACAGAAGAGCATGAGAAGGTTGCACTGGTGAAACTGGGACCAGGAGAGCGTGGGGCATGCGGCGAGGGCAGGCTTGGAGCATGCTGTGGGTCACTGCATTTGCTAATCTGCCTTTGGACTTCACTAAAAATTGCTGCGGAAGCAGAAAAAAACACTTCCTCGGATACTTGGATGGCAGGATTGCAGCTTTAACAGCTCTGAGCTGAAGGTGGGGAGACCAGGGAAAGCACGTGGTGCAAATGAATGTGCGTTTGAAAAGGATACTGCCCAGGACGACATCTAACAACSTTATTTATTTAGTTATTTATTTTTGCCTTGTATCTGACCTCAGCTTTCCGTCTCTACGCCGCTGGGGCAAATCCTGTGCCGAGGAGCAGCCTGCAGCGTGCCGGCGCCTCTCCGGTGGATCCGGCCGTCCCCTGGGGCTCACTCCACCAGGGCTCCCCTTCTCCCCACCCATCACGGCAGCAGCACCCGTGCGTAATTTAGGCTCCTCAAATGCCCAGAGCGGGTGGAAAGAATCCTCACGTGGGAATTATTTCCCTGCCAGAGCGGGAGCTAAGTGGGAATAGTGCCCTGAGCCCACCTGAACTAGCCCGTGGTTATTGAAATTAAATTGTTGAAATTAAAAAGTTTTATATTTCCATTTGCAAGGCCCTCTGGCTCCTACTGCACATATTGACCTAGCGAAGTGATGGCACCGCTAAGCGGTGCGTGCAGCAGCACACAGAGAGCTCATAGTCTTGGGTTATTTCTTAAGGGAATGGCCACTCCTAAGTGTGCACTGAGTGTGTCACCAGTGCCAAAAAAAGTAGTTTCTGTGTCATTGTCAATAACCTGCAAAGATTTACTTGTAATAAGCAGATTAACTGTTTACTCATAAATGCAACTATTGAATACAGCAGCTATAATGCAGCTATAATGCAGCTATAAACGGCGCAGTTTATCTGTACCCTGAATTCCCAGAAGAGATTGAATTTCTTGATACAGATTTACCTGAATTTACAGTAGCAGAGATTTTTCCCATAACTTTTTGGAGCTCTATTCCTGCTCACCCAGGATTTTTCCCGACTTTTGGTGTAGGCCAAACCAGGCCCTTGGTGAGCAGGGGATGCAGCACGGAGATAATCTATATGAAGGCACATTCACCTTGCAGTAAAAATGAGTGTTGCCCCTATTTACACCTGACTGTGAACTATAGTATTTCRGAACACCACAATATTGAAAAAGACACTGGGTTTTATTCATTTAATATTTACAGTTAGTGAATGAGCTCTTTTTAAGATTACTCCTGCAGTAGGAAAGTGGCCAGGAATTAGATGCTGCACCTTGTAGCTTTATAGCTTCAGGAAAGCACTGAAATGTGGCACGTAGAGGGTGCCCCTGCCCTTGCATGGTCCTGGACATCGTTCCCTTTGAATGGGGAAACTGGAGGAGATTTTCGCAACATCCAGTTGCTCCTCAATGGATAAAACAGGATGGTGGGACGTGGGCACCCACAGGATGCGGGCACAATTCTGGTGTCCCTCATTATTTTAGCCATCTAAATTACATCTTGCCAGCTCCTGAAATTATCGAGGTACAGCATTTCACTTGGGATTATTAGAAAAAAGAAAAAAGTTTTTGAATATCATGAGAAAAAAAAAAACCTTGCAAATGTGATCCTCACACTCTAATCTGAAAGATCAAAATGCAGCAGYTGTAGAAAAGAGAGACTTTTCGTTTAATCTGAAGATTTTCCAAAGGCCAAATCCCATGATCCAAAGGAGTTTGATTTACGAACCCTGGCCACTTGGGATCCGTAACTCTGCGTGTGCACTGGTAGCAAGTCCTGCTCCAAAAAGAGAATAAGAGCACCATCTACTGCCCGTGCCTAGAATTTGCTGGGAAAACAGCAAAAACCTCAATTCCTTGAAACGGTTTCAATGGGCCATGGCTCTCGCTTCCCACAGCCCCTTCAATGAACCATGAGGTGGCCCAATGCAGCGATGATGGAGCCGATGATGGAGCAAGGGGCTGCAAAGCAAAGGGCAGCAGCAGCTTAATTACGCAGCACGGATGTTAATCATGAAAAATCTCACCCCTGAATAACGTGCATTCTCCTGGTTGCTTTGGAGAGAGTTTCGGTACAACAGCATTTTCATACATTTCCCTCAACTCCTTTCATGTGTTTATGAGCRCAGCCATCAAGAGCCCCATGTATAATTGCCCCTTCTGTGCACTTGGTCCTGGGTGAGCGTTTTTGCAGTCAACAGCAGCTAATGAAAGAGGTGGCACATCGGCCAGCGGCTTAAACCCTGGTAAAACCCGAGTCTGTGCTCTGCCCTGGCCTCCTTCCAGAAGCTTGCTTGAAAGTCAAGAATGTGACATGTTTTAATTATGCTTATAGGTCAGGATTTAAATGAAAGCCCCGTTATAAACAGCAGTCTCAGAGGAAAGGTCTGTGCTCAGGCTTTTTTTGCCTCAAATTGATTACCAGTTAACTCAGGGTAGTTAACACGTTTGTAAGGTCTCGTCTGGACACTTCCCAGATGTTTGTGCCAGCATGCAAACGGTTGTGGTTTATACCGTAAATAGGAATGCCTCCATTTTTTGGCCCAGACTGATTTCTGGTTGCAAACCATTGAAATAACATGTCTGAAAGCATCCAAATGAAAAGAGAGAGARAAAAAATATATATTATATATTCCAGAGCTAGACCAAGCCATTCTACAGGCCACCCAATAGCTTTAGGCAGAACCTTCAAATCCAAGAGTGTGGGCCAGGCAGATGGACCTCCGTGGGCACATGGACTTCCATGGAGCAATATTGGGGCTCTACTCCCCATGATCATCTGGTCTTGCCCAGCTCCATGCAGCATGAAGGAGGGGATGCTCCAGGGAAGAGGTCCCATACTCATCCTCACATGAGCCACGAGGGTCGGGCTGTGTATTTGTATACAATAGTGATGTCCCTGGGCTTATCTGCACCATGGTTTCTATGTCGATCATTCATTGTCAGCAAGTTTGGGGGATTTAACGTGTTTGCAAGGGGCTAACCTGCACCCTGTCTCAATAGCTGCGCCTCAAGCCGGCCTTGGTGCCGTCCCCCCGGTGCTGCATCCAGCAYCAAGTCCTATAGAGGCGTCGCATGCAAAAAACTCACAGATAATCTTCAAAGCCTGCACTTCTCKGCCATTTATCTTATCTTGCATGCTGCTCAAGTATGGATTTGCATAATACAGACCTAATAGAGTTGTGTTCCTATTCACTGACAGCATCTTGRCACGGCTTTCTTTGAAAGCATGGCCAGAAACTATCAGGCTTCTTACAAAAGAAGAAGATGGTTTTATASATCTGGAAATCTCCACCCTTGATTCGCCTCCTGAATACTGTCATACAGGCTGCTTGATGCTGTCATCAGAGCTGGGCCTGGAAACTGAGGAGCAGAGGGAGCTGCATTTGGGGCTGGTAGCACATTAGTCAGCTAGAGCACATGGATCCATCAGGTCTGGTTATGATGCATTTTGTCTATGTACAACATTTTCCCAAATATCTTGCATTAGAGCCCTTTTTGCAGCTGGCAAGYGCTCCTGTTGGTCACCTGCATTTGCAGGCACAGTTAAATGCTTTTTATTCCAAGTGCACCGTGTCTCTTGCAACTCTAGACGTTGCTTGGGACATTGGGCTCTGCAAGGCTGAAGGCATGTCTATGGCTTTGCTTGGAAAACCTAAAGGAATGCTTGCTTGAGCAGAGGTCTTCTTGTAGCCATAGGCGTGCAAGGCAAAACGAGAAGCAAATTATCCATTTTATTTGAAATAAGGGATAATGATCACATCTTAGGATGCACTGTTGGGTTCATGGTTGAT